CCTACACTCATATATCTGGCAGCAATAAATGACAGAAGCATGGATGTCTTAAAACTACTTTCTTATTCAATAATGACTGGCCTCCCTGTAGAATTTTATGTGCAAATGATCTCTGATTAAAGCTGACCTCATGTGTCATATTTGGTAAGTGTAGAAGTCTGCTTTGCCATACTGTGATTTGCTACAATCAGATCCAATCCAAGTGAGCACATTCGGCAACAGTGATTCCCAAGGAGGCACGCGGGGCTCTGCCCTGAGCCAGACACTGTGTTACAGCCCCATAAACCCAGCATTTTCTGTAAGTTGAGGAAAGGCTGCAGTTACTGATACATAATTAGGACCTAAACAAAGGAAAAAAAACCCCAAATCATCTTCATATAAATTGGGGTTCTAATATATTTTACCACTTATGCATTTAGTCACAGGACTGGAAGATTTAGCTAAACAAAATTTTTTTTTCTTATCACCTGTATATAGCAGAACTGAAACTTGGATGTCATAGTACGCAATAACAGCCAAGTCCAATTTTCATTTTAAATGGCTAGCTCTGAAAATGTGGCCAGGTATTATAAAACATTAAAATAAAAATGTTGAACATGAATGCATCTGTGCTGGAAAGTGGACAAAATTGGTATAAGACTAGTGACATTTCACAACTGAAATTAAAAATATTAGAATCCTCAGAAAAACAGTTGGGGCCTAAAAGGAACATTTATGGGCATTGGTTTTTTTTTAACCTAATATATAAAAAGCTCCAAAAAGTGCTTTGGCTCTTTCAGGAGTAAAAACAGTAGTAAGTATACACTCTAGATATCATTGAAAAGACTTTCTACTGTGAATTTCAGGTAATGTATCTGTCAATGCAAATAAACTATTCCAAATTCACCCTTTAGTGGGTGAAAGAGGAAGCTTAGCATAAGGTATCTTAAATGTATTATAATGAGTAAATATTGATAAACAAAGGCTACTCTAAGACCCATCAAGAACAAAGGGTCTTAAATGTAATCAGAAATCAATTCACTAAATTCAATACTCAATTGTACATTATCATTTAAAAAGTTAACAGTTGAATTTGTAGAGCCAAAAAGTCTACAAGTTCAGAGATAAAAAATTGTGTGTTTTTATTATCTTGAGATAAATATTTTTATCATCATCATCTGAGCAGCCACTGTCTCTAATGATGAAGCTAGAGACTGAAGTTGAACGATAACAGGACCATTTTTCAAAAGAAAACCTGAACTAATGGTTGTTTTTCTATAAACACTTCAGCATTCAGCATTTGAGCAGGGCTAGTATACTGCTCCCTCATTATTTCAAAAGAAGAAGAAGAGAAATACTTTTAAAATAAAAACCCTAGCATAATAGAGTCCTTAAACTTTTGGAAATGGTGTACCTGTCTATCCTTATCTCCCAGTATCCACAGAAGGTGACCCCCTGCTTCAGTCAAACTGGGTTATATATTGTCCCTAAAATACAACCAAGACGTCTCCATTCGTAGGCTCTTGCTGCCTAGTGGCTATGTGCTCTTTGTGTCACATCATAGGCTGTGGCCTTCCTCTAGCGTTTACCTCTTGCACTGCTATTTAACTTTTCCTATGCTGGCCTCATCTCTACAACTAGACTGTAAACTTCTTAACAGAAGGATTAGGCCTTCTAGGTCTTTGGATCCCTTGCAATGCTTACAAAGTGTCTGGTCCCAAGATGGGTGCTCATGTTTTTGCTGTTTCAATTGGTGGAGTCTGCATAACAAATCACAAATGGTCACAAAAATCAGGACTGGACCCATAGATAATCTGAAATAGTATCTGACTATCCAGAATAGCATTATGCAGGCACAAGCAGTTTGGCTAGGAATGATAATAACAACAGCCAATACTTATTGAGTGCTTGTTATGTGCATGGCACTATTCTAAGTGCTTTACTGAAACGCACGTGATAACCTTATGAAATTATCCTCCTTTTACAGATGGGGAAACAGAGGCACAGAAAGGTTGGGTAATTGCTCAAGCTGGTAAATAGCAGAGCTGGGATTCAAACCCAGGCAGTCTGGTTCCAGAGTCAGAACACAAGCAGGACCCAATACTGCTTCTCTGCAGTAGGCCTGGGGATCAGGAGTGGGTGAGCGAGGAGTACCCAGGAACCAGAGAAAGAGCTACTAAACTGTCTACCCTTTCCGCTGTTCATGGGCAATGTTTATCTGAGCCAATATGTGATGAAATAATCATTTCAACAATTAAGTAGGTTCTCTAGTTTCTTGTGGTTTCAGGTTGTCAATTTTAAAAGCAGTTTAAAATACATTCACAAAATGATTAGCTCAGAAAATGACTGAGTCACTTTCTTTCCTCTCATTAGATATCTATTTATATATTTAATTGTAAATTTTCCATATGTCTAATGATACTAACAGAGATAAATTATTTATAATTTGTCATAACACAACCACCTTCACCTGGTTAGAACATGATAAATCATTAACATCAATGACAAAAGCAGAAGGCTCTTGACTTCACCATAACTAGAAATAAAAATGTTAGTTATAACAGAGAGAAACTATTATGCAGAGTAAATACTATGGACATCAAATAGAAACACACACCACTGTATAGGTCCCAGGCTGTTAACAAAATTAAATTTTAGCTGTTTGTTTCTGTGACTTTGAATAGAGGAAGAACACAGATAACCAAAAACCACTTTGGCATTGAGTCAGTACATGGGCAAGATCTGAAAGGGAATCTAGAAAAGTGACAACTGTGAAATAATAGTTGCCATTTGTTATTTTATTGCTTTTATTTCTGTCGTCAACATTGGGGGTAGAAAGAAAACACACATCGTCCATGCCTATGTAAACACAGTGACGCTCAGACAGTCGTTCCAGTTTTCATTGAATAGCATGTTGTTAATTCATCTTCTGAATTGCTGGGGAGGATTTTTAAGAAGTAGCCCCCACTCCCAGACTCCATTTCTAGATTCTCACTTCATTTCGCCACAGAAAACCACATGTGGCGTTCCTGAAAGACTCTGAGGGGGTGATCAGGTTCCTGGGCACAAGGAAGATACACAGGGTGGTTGACGCCTAGGACCTTGTCCCCTTAAGAAAACACGTAGGTGATAGGCAGCGCACAAAAATCACCATTGCTTGGAACTCCTGGCTGGGGAGGACTGCTGTCTACATGACCTCATCCAGAAAGGCCATGTCATCCTTCCCAGGGAGACAGCTTTTGGGAGGTGTGAACACACAGTGGTAAGGGAGAAGTGTTACACCTGCCCAGCCACATCAGCCAAATTAACTCTGAAAGTCACTCGGGTGGCAACTGTCACAGGCAGATCCCTCTCTGAGGTGGCATAAGCTAGGCAGTCGATTTCATTTTGTTTTATTTTAATTAACTAATTAATTGTGAAGGAGGGCGGATTGAGGAAGTAAAAGGGCATAACTGTTTTTTTTTTTCTTGGTAATCTAGAACCCTGAGGCATTGAGGGTTACCACAGAGATGAGTAACTCCAATTCCCTTTTAAGTAGCAAGTCCCCATTCCTAAAAGGCTGATGATTTAAAAAAAAAAATTAGGTGTGTTTGGCGGTGCACAGAAATCTCAAGCTTTACCAAGATGGGCTCAGTATGGAGCATTTGTACATGTGTAAAGTGGTAAATGTTATGATTAACAGCAAAACAAAGACTTAAGGAAGTTATGAGGCAAATTTCTCTATAGTCCCTCAGTAGTTATTTGTGTCTGGAGGCAATTTTGTATTTTATAACATTGTATTTTCTAATTTCACTAAAGGAGAGCTACCCACATTTGTGGATTTTATTTTTTTTGCTTCAGCTTCAAAATGCCTTAGGGCTAATTCAGGCTTGGTTCAGTGGCAATCCATGGTCTCAGAGGCCTTCGGCATATTTAAATAGCTGCTCTTCTGTTTATTTTGTACTGTTTTATCCTGTAAGCTGTCTCAAGGTCCTTCCAATATAAGCAGGAGAATTAAAATCTCAATAAACTGAAGTTTGAAGAACAGAGGCAATCTGGGTTTGCGGTCTTGAATGATTAGGATAAATATCTCTATTTCCCGCTGCCCTATTGTGCATGCACTGTACATATTGCCCTGACATTAACAGTCAGTCAAAATTAAAACATTAACAACAGCAATAAGAATGATAATGTTTAGATTTAAATTGTACTTTTCAGTTTATAAGAACTTCCATTCAGTTTTTTATTCTCTTCTTGGAGTAGTTCTAAAAGATAAGAAGAACGGGTGTTTTGCCCACTTTATAGATGAAGAAACTGAGTCACTAAAATATTAAGAGGTGCCCAAAACAATATGGACAAGCAGTGGCACCAGGACCTGAACTCAGTTCTTTCCAACAGCCTTACCATAACTTGGCCAGCTGTGTCAACATCTGTGTGCCAACAATAAGACTTTCAATCATATTCCAATTAAACTCACTGTAAATGCCTTGTTCTAAAGCTTATAACAATGACATTAGAGAAGTCTAGAGTCATTTCTTTATTAAAAAGATTGACTGTGACCAGAGGGGAGGTGGAAGGGGATAACAAGGGAAGGAAGAGGAAGGGTCAAGTCAAGGAACATGTAGAAGGACCCAGGGACAAAGACAACGGTGGGGGAAAGGATTGAAAGGGGAAAGTGGGGGACGAGTAGGGCAGGGGAGGGTAATGGGGGAAAAATGGGGGGAAAATGTAACTGAACAACAATTAAAAAAAAGGAAAAAAAAAGAGATCGTTCATCAGATCAATCAATTCTGGGATTGGAAGTGACAAACAAGCAATGCTCAAACACCTTTCTCTCACCTCCTGTTAATTTGATGGAATTAAAAAAAACCCACAAAACTTCTTTACTTGTAACTTAACACCAAAATATTCTGTCCTGTCATTTCTTGCCACTCGAAATTCCCAGGAGCTGAATTTTTGGACATAGTAGAAGTGAAAACTAAGAATTCTAAAGATACATTCTAACGTTGATAGAAACAACAACAGCAATTAAAAAGGCTTACCTTGCAGCCTTCACATGTAATGACACCATAATGGATTCCTGATGATTTGTCTCCACAGATCTTGCATGGAATAATTTCAATTTGAGCTGCAACAGAAGCACGTAACCAGTTAATTACATTTTCTTTTAAACACCTTATAAAAGCGTTCCCCAATCAGCATTTGTATAGTGAAAACTAATAACCTGCTAAACATTATACCGCATTAACTATTCATTGCTGAACTGTGAGGGTCCCCCTAGAGCCCTGGACTAAATTATGGCTGCTCGTTATATAATAGCTTTCGGGTTATTAAAATGGGTCATTTGAGAAGGTGTTTAAGGACCCACAAGAAGGCTGGAATCAGCATTTCAAAGCCTTCAAGAACTGGAGAGTTCGCAGTTTAGGCCTCAGAGCAAAGTAGATACTAAAATGTTTCCTCCGATCTTATTTTCCATCATTATTTTTAAAAGGTCATAAATCTATCTTGGCTGAGCACTGTAGATTGACTGGTTGAGAAAAATATACTCCAAAACATTAAGAATACTTAGGAAAATGATTCAATTCAAAATATTAATGTTATATATGATGGTAAGTTAAGAATTCCTTACTTGTCCTTTTTTAATTAACATAGTTACCATGTGTTAAAAAATGAGTCCATTTGTTGTACCAACAAAACATTTCAACCATAAAGTTAATATCCTATCTGATTTTAATCATGATGAATCCTGACAAAGAGAGTAAATAGTTTCTAAATTCTTTACATTGGAAATCGATTTCCTGGTACAGTGTGCTCCTGTTTCTATCCACCTGATTACTTACAGATGCCCCATGCTGTGCATCCGACCAAAAATACAGAAACACATAAGTATAGTACACCAACATTCTCAAATATGACAAAGCATACTTCTAAGCAAACACATCATATCTTGAGCAGAGTTGGAAATAGCATAGTTAAAGATTAAAAACCTAAGAATGAAATAATTAGGCACAGCAAAGTACTTGGATCAACTGTGAAATATGATTTATATATGAGAAAAAGACCAACACTGAGGAGTATATATAGGATGGCAATGTTCACCACTTTACCTGGTATGTTCCATTATACTAAGTTTATTTTCCATGGTTTTCACCACTGGATATCGTATCAGAGTATCTACTAACTCATACACACAAACCCAAGTACAAGAGCCCAAGTGGATTTCATTTTCATGTAGTTCCTTCCTGGCCCCATGCCTTACACAAAGCAATGACTTGTCTAAGGAAGTAAGTTACACGAAGTAAGCAACACACATGTACACACAGTCCACTCTTTCCTCCACTGTAATTCCACACCCTGGGATAATTTCCACAACACTTACTTTGAATTTGATGTGATGTTGTGGTCAGCAATTAGAGAACACATGAAATTCTTGGATTTAATCTCATTATAAAGCATGTTTACCCGCTAACTTCCTTTCAAGGGGAATAGTACAAGTACTGATCAGGGAGTGCAAACTATTCTAGAGAGTCCTTTCCTTATCGATTACTTTTAGTATTGTCATACTGAGTTTTATTGTCCAGAGTTAGAGATGGTTTGAAATAATCACACCCAGTATATTTCCCATAATCCTGAAGCTTTCTAATACCCCAATAATTGTGTCTTGCACACTCTCAAATATGCCTATTTCTGAGTTATATAACTTACTGATATGTTATAAAGTCACATTTCATAAAAATGATCGCCTCCAAGTCTGCATCCTTGTCCTTAGCACCTAGCTTGATTTCTTTAAAGTAAATTCTCTGTGAAATCTGAAATCTAATAATGTCTACACCTACGGTCCCTCCAATACTCTTAATATAGTCAAGGCAAAGTTTCATGCTACAGGTTGTCTGCCACTCGAGAGAGAGAGAGAGTTAATGCTTAACATTTTCTCAGGGACTCACAAAAGTCAAGTGGTAGCTGAAAGGTGTTATCAGCTGAGAGTTATTGCCTGGATTTTCCCATATGAATTAACTTGTCTATAATGAGAACCTGTCTCCCCTAACCCGACCCCTAAGGACTAGAATAATTACACAACACAAAGTACTTGGACCATTATTAAACAAAATTTATATGTGGAATAAAGAAGACTGACACCAAGCTTCTTCTGTATATGTCTCACCTCAATCTATAATCACAGAAATTAGACATAGACAAACCTAGTTAGGCCCCGTAGTTTAAGTCAGCATCAAAACTATCTGAGGCAATTAAAGCAACACTAGTGCTAAACTTGGGTCTTTCAAGAGATATCTTCATTCCACCTTAATGATGGGGAGATCAAGCACATCTATTTAGTCCTTTATAAGCTAGGAGGGCCCTGGGCAAGCTGTACCAGGAGTGCTGAGTAAAACTGGATCTGGATCAAATGGAAAATGATATATTGCTGCTCAGTCAGCTTGGACTCAGTGGATTACCCATAAGAAGTGAAATGACGGCATTTAAGCCGGTGACCAGAATGCCCGCTGATGGCTGCTGTCGTCTTTCAAGTAATATGGAGGTCTAGCTCGGAGGGGTTTGCTCGTGATAGGGGTGGTCCTGGGGCTGCACTCGGACCTTTGAAATGGCTCATGGCCAGCAGGGGGAAGGGCAGGGGTGAGAGAATCCTTGTAGCACAAATGCAGAGTTTGATGCCTCTACTAACTGTTGGCCTAAGCCAGCCTCGCACACTCAGTCTTCAGCCTTGTTTCAGCTCCCAGAGCCTTTCATATCCGTAAGACACTCAAGCCTAAGGTGTGCTTCACAAGATTTATGGAGGACAGTGAGTTATCCACACTCACTGTAGATGACTTGCATTTTCAAGCAGGAGGCCATCTGTCACCCACTGTGTGCTTAGTTCCAGTGGGCAATGGGGGCCAGAAAGTCAGAATTGTTCAAAACAGATTCCGCTAGAAAGCTCGTGGTAAAGGAAGGGCTCCCCGAAGCCCAGGCATTCTGACTGGTCAGATCAAACTATCCTACTCACCTGCCTCCTGGGGGGCAACCTGATCTCAGAAAACGATTTCACTTACAAGTGCTTTTTCAGAAATGACTAAAATCCACCTGCTCTGAAAAGCAAACTCTGAATGTGATCTGATCACACATGTTGCTATTTCCCGGAAGCAAACATTTGCAGATTGGAGCACGGCACTCAGCCTTCCGTTTACTCTGACAATGCACAAGGGCCGCCCCCCTCCACCTTTCAATCAACTTACAGAATTCGCCTGCAACATTGAGAGTGAAAAGTGCAGTCACGGGCTTGCACATGTTTTCAAAAGGAAGGCAGTTTAGTTCCATAAATTTGAGTTTTCAGTCCAATAAGAGTGGAAAGGACAAAAATCCCCTTGCCCTTTGCTTTCCATCCCTCAGGCTTTTTCATTTTCCAACAGGCAGTGTTGAGTCTTTTCAAAATAATCTTCTTTTAACACAAATTATGAGTCTTGGCCCCTAGATATACTGCACACATTAACTTAGCCAGTATTTCAAAGGAGGAGTTCTGTCAGACAACACTCCCGTCACAAGTATATTGATTAAATTAGCCCACGTACATATTCATCACAGCAAAGAGGTTTATTGTGTAGGGGAATATCTGAAGCAAGACGCGCACAGATAATCATGAATTGGCTTAACAATGAACAATCTTGCTATGAAAAATTGTAATTTGCCCACATTTTCAGCTCTATTGCCTAAATAATTTGCTCTCTCATGCACCCGAAGTAATTCAAGCAGGCGCTGCACACCTGCCAAGGCAAATTTCTGCAGTTCCAAGGAGCTGACAACAAGCGGCAGTGGGGCGTCAGGAAGGCCCACAATGCAAGTGCACTCATTAGCCAAGTGGTCCTTGAGCTGGGCTGTCACTAGGCCTTGTATGTACTTCCGCACAAGATCTGCTTTTTACTCTTAATTATAAAGGGAACAAGAACACAGGCACTGGCATTCTTAATACCTCCTTTATTTTTCAGGACCTACAGGGTCCAGCACAAATAATGCTCCTTTTTTATTAAAAAATCTTTTGTTACAAAATCATAAGCATGTCATTCTGTAACATAACAATATCACACTCAAGCACACCATATGACATTTTAGGTGAAGTGTCCAAATTAAGGCTATAAATCTTTACATCCATATTATTACCCTACCAACCACACTCAAGTAGGCATTACTTCTGCCAGACCCTGTATTTTGGGAAATACTTTGGTCATGAGAAAAATGTCCATTCTCCCAAAGATTTAAAATAACACCATAGGGTGAGTTGTACCTATCACTTCACTCTCAGTAAGCAGTGAGCTCTTGATAATAATTTAACACATTTATAACAATGAATAATATCTAACATGTATTTGTGTTTATAATGTAAGACATTACTGCAGCTACTTCAACAGCCCTATGAGGTAGGTGGTACCATCGTTATCATCATCATCATCATCCACATTTTTTAGATGAGAAACAAATTCAGCGAGGCCAAATGACTTGCCCACAGTCAAAGAGTTAGGAAGAGGTAAGACTGAAATTTGGACACACTTTGTCTTTTTGTCTAATAAAAAAATGTAGGATCCCCCCACCCCCTTCCCCTTTCTCACTGTTCCTCACTGCCGACATCCAATCGCTCCAATAACAAACACCAGGAGATTACTGCTCTTGGTATATAAACATTGACACAAGGTTAAAAGACATGGCACTCTGGTTAAGCTTACATACTACTCAGAACTGATAACAAGATGTCTTTCTGGGAGCTATCTGACTAGTTTATAACTGGAAGTAATCATCAACCTTCTAGGCATTCTTCTAGTTTTTTACCTTAAGGTGACCAATACCAAGGTTTAACAATTTTTAAGACTGGGAAAGTTACTTATCATCTCTGAACCTCAGTTTCATATGAAGATTCAATGATATGATATATAAATGACACAGCACATGTGTGATTATTATATATAATCACACAGTTCTTAGAAATAGCTGGCACTCAACAGATATTTGTTATTATTATTGTTATTGTTGATAAGAAATCCTGCCTTATAGCGAAATGAAATTCTTTTCTGCAGTCCATAAGCTCTTTCTAAAGTGGGGATAGAGAAAAGCTGCTTATCCTCCAAATAATATGACAGGCAGTTC